ATATATATATATAGTATTATTTAAAAAATAAGATGTTGATGTATTTGTGTTGCATATATTATTTAAAAGATGTATTGAAGTTATAAATAGATACCCATTAATTTATTGACAACTGATCCACAGAATAACGATTTTGATTCGCCTACAACTTCCACGTCTGTTACCTTGCTAACGTATTTGTTCCAAATATCCCTGAGTCTTTCGGAAGCATGGGGCACTACAATATCCACAACTGTCCACCAAATGTAGCTTTCTAAATCAATATTCGAATTTTGGAAACATTTTTTTAAAAAGTGAATACTAAATTTAAATATTAAACGACAAAAATAATATAATTAAGTCAATTATTTACTGGATTATTATAAATCATGAATATATACATGCCTAGGATTTCTTCCTCGAAACAAGTTAATAATAATGCAACATCTTTCAAATACTCTAGATTACCAATTAGAATTTTATCTTTGTTGTCAAGATCCAACTTATCTATTCCCTCAAAAATAGATTCAATAAAAGGCCGCCAAATCGGTGTAAGCGTAAGAGATAAATTACTATCTATTATATAATTATCTGTCAATTTTTGTAGATCATCTACCAGCATATAATCACTATCGCTCAAGCTTTCCTCGGAAATACTCTGATTTTGATCTGCACGAGCCATCTGTCAAAAAATTAAATTCTTGTATTCTCTTAAATAAATATATAATATTTTTCAAAATCTTAATTGTATTTTGGAAATTGCACTTAAAAAAATTTTACAACAAATATTATAGAGCATGATAAAAATAGAGTTTTATTCTAACAAATTTGTTCACGAAAAACATTTGTTAGATTCGATTTATACTACTTATGGCAAGATCGAGTAAATGTACTCAATGCGCATTAGTGCATATTAAAGTCGTTGTATACAAATTGATATTAAGATATGTTTAATATTAATATAAATATAGAAACAAGTTAAATCACGGACTGTCAGTACATTTTATTATGCTATTAAGTAAAATATGTATTTTATAATTTAAAATATTTGCATTTCACTTTTACACTTATCGTCAGATTAAATCAGTGTACAGCTTTAATATGCTCCAGTGCCCATTAGGGTATCCAAATGAATTCATTGTTAATAAAAAAATACTTACGTTATAAAAAAGATTGCTAATATTGTAAATTCCTTTAACAAATTCTTTTAGTACTTCATCTTCAATCATCAATTCGTCGTCTGAGGTGCATTTATTATCAGTGCCATTGTTAATAATGTATTTAATAACATCAATCATATAGGTTAATTCGGCATCTTCGTTCTCACTCAACACGGCTTCGTCATCTAACTCATCTAATTTTCGCAATCGCGATCTGATGGTTTGTAATCGTTTCTCCAATTCTTTATCGCTATTATTATTATTGTTATTATTATTATTATTATAAATTTGTTATTATTTATACTAATTACAATATTAAGTAATTTGCAAAATATTAAAAAATAATAATACAAAATAAATATATTATTATAAACATAATAAAAGCATACGTACTTGAGAAAAGGATTGGAACGAATCGGAAGATGGAGATAGAGTATGTTCTTACTCTTGTTTTTTGGATTAGGTATGACTTCAAAGCCAAAGAAAATGTCAAGATCCAAAATTTTCTTTACGCTGGCAAGTTGTTCGATATAATTGATTGTTTTATTGGTAACAAATGGTATCGTGGGTAAATTTAATAACTTCAACAAGTCGAACATTGGAGATAAATCGAGTTCATTTACGGTATCTGAAATTTATCTTCTAATAAGAAATATTCAAAATTAAAAGATAATTTATATAACATTAAAATTTAATTTACAATATATTTTACACATACATTATTAATTATTACTTGGATATTGTATGTATTATATTTTAATTAATATGTTCCTAATTATAGCATTTGTTTCTTTGACATCTACCTAATTAAATAAAAAGCAACGTACTCACGTCCATACAGCTGCTAAACAGAGTCTTGGCCTGCATTACTGCCCACGGTACCTCACTTGCAGACATATTGACTAATAGTAGATCTCTGATTTTTCTGTACATGCGATTACTGCGCTCGCTGAACCAGGAATTCATCAGGCTGGAATCCGGAATAGGATGTTCTTGCGGCCATCTACCGCACGCATATCTATAAAAATAGAGAAAGTATTGCACACTACTAAGATAATAATTGTATAAATTATAAATTAATTAATTAAATAAGTTTATAAATTAATTAAATAAGTGGATTAATAATAATAAAATATTAGCATAAATTTCTATTCTAGAAAAAGTGGATTAATTTGTGACATGATTGATATCTCATATAAACCAGTGAAAGCGAATTACGCAAGTGCAATATTTGCGTGACACAGAAATAATAAATTTGAAGAATAATATTGGAATTTTGTGTATAATATACATTTTACAAAATGCGCATCATATGATCAAGGTATGACATAATAGCACGCACGCCGCCAATAATAAATCTACTCACTGATAAAAATTATCGCAAGGATCTACAGACTCGTTCATAGATTCCTTCAAACTAGCAGCTAGATGGATAAAGAAAAATAAATAATTGTTTCCAGGACAGTAATTCCATATATTTTTTTATTGTTTTGTGTAATGTTTGTTTATGTAAATAATAGTGCAAATTTATATAATCACTCCATTAGTATAACAACTGTATACCACTTACCTATTCGCACGCAATCCTCGCTATCACATATCTTCATCATATTTTTACACGCATCTGCAACAATATGTATCTATAGAGCATCCTAACAATTTTAAGAACTTCTTTAATGTTGTTAGTTTATCGCATTTTCCCAATTTTTAATATATACTAATTTTTATTTAATTATCTTTTATATGTTTTTATTTCTTATTATATTTTTATGTACTTTAATATTCTTTTGTACATTTTTTAAATTAATTTAATTTAATTAATTTAATTAGATTGTATAATCTCGTTATTTATCTTCAATATATTTATTTAATCAAAAAGCATTTTGATAATTTTATCGTGGAGAAACTACGCTCAGAATATATCAATTGTGGTTTGAAAAACGTCAATAATCCTAAGGAATACTTTACATAATATATAGCTTAATTTTAGAAATCACGGTCACGTGTAGAATGTTAGATTATCGCATAAGAATGATGAGCACGCAACAAAATTGTTCCTTGGAACAACACGTGATACGCTGCACAATCCATAGGCATGTTTGCTAAAATATTTACACAATGTCAATAGCGATCGAAGATATGTTAAATGGTTTCCCAATAAATTGTCAAGGATACGTAATTGCAAAGAAGATATATAAAAGCATTGTAAGGGTTAAGTCATTTCTTTCAAACTGAAAAGTATTTCCGGTTGTTATACACCTGCTACAAGGAGTTATATATACCTACTGTAATTTTGATAGAACTCACAGTTACAGAACTTATATACGATATTGAGACATAAAATGACTAATGCAATGTCATTTCAGAAATTTTAAATGTTTATGTTTTAATTCCAATTTGCATGCATTATTTTTTTAATATATTATTTCCTTATTTTTTTAATGTATTATTTTCTTATTTTTTTAAAATGTATTATTTTCTTAGCACAAATATATGTATATTAAATAATAATCTTACAATAATAATTTATATTTTGTTTGTTAAAAAATTAAAAATATAATACATATTTTTTTAAATGATTGATACATAATTTATAATTTCAAAAAATGTATTTTAATATAATATATAATTATATAATTATATATACATATATA